ATCCAAGATATGAACTTGCTTGTCATCCATCAAGATGACTACTAAATACCAATGAATGTCATCACCATGCATGATATCCTTCATTGGCAGACACAACTACATTATGACAAGAAATACTAACATCAGTAAACCATATTTGACATTTCATATAGGAAAAAGTTAAATAGCTTGATTGGAGAAGAAAACCTTTCTGCAGGTGTGAGCTGTTGTGAGAAACTTTGTACCGTAACACTCTAAAGCCTTTTTCGGTGTCATGCCATAGTTAAGTACCATTTCCTAATCATGATTTGATTTAATTAGCAGAATTACACGTTTATTATATACCATAGGACTAACAGTATATTTCACCTAAAATACATGTACAAGGTAAATCAATATGTACCTGCAGTTCAGAAGGCAGAAAACATACTCTTCTCCCACGGCCAGCATCTCTCGTAATTTCGTCCAGGGTCAAGTGGCAAGTCATTGCTGTAATTACCTAACACACCAACCAACCAGGGTATACAAATTTTAGGAGATTGGTATTATGCCAGTTCAACATCCTGATTAGTAACAGTAGGCCAGGATTAAAACTTACATCAGCATCAACATTGGAGTTAGGGCAGAGGGACCATAGCGCCTTTCGCGTATAGGATTTCATCATGGTATCGACTAGGACCTCTTTTAGCGGAAGGTCAGCTGCAAAGATGTAGTGAGCAAGTCTGATTTCCTCCTCACTGTAGTTGACAGCGTGAGGCAGCCTAAACTTAGTTTCTGCCTGCAATGAAAGATGAAAGAATATTAGCGGGTTCGATAAAAATATAACCACTGATTCCGTTTTAAGGCAGAAAAATATTAGTGGGGTGGATTAGAGGGGATTGCTAATTATCGCCCTAATTTTAATGTAATCGTCATTCGTAATCTTCACATAAAGAGCGCAACTTGTTCAAGGTTGGCTACTGATACATACTGCCATTTAAATCACTTCAGTAGTGAAGAAACACACTAATACGAGGCCCTGAATCTCTCTCAAGCAACTATATCACAAAACATGGTGAATCAAATTCAACCAACAGACCCGTAAAAAAATATAAAATAACTTTGGGTCTCGGCCCAATTCTTCCAAGGCTAAGCTTAGGGTTTGTTATCCTCATTTCATTGCTGCTTGTTTTTATCTATTTGTATGGACTAAGAGTGGCCATGACGCTAGCTATTTTGGCTTCTGTTCAGAGAGTATTACAAATATTTCCTGATTGTCCTGGACCTGTCAGGCTTGGTATTGGTCAGTGTCAGTACAAGATGGGCCACTTCGAAATTTACCCTTATTGCCCTATGGCACTCAATTATTTAGCCAATCACTTTTTCTTCACCGGACAGCATTATGTTGTTGAGCAACTGACAGAAACCGCACTAGCTGTGACCAATCACGGGCCCACAAAGTCACATTCATACTATAACTTAGCTCGTTCGTACCATAGCAAGGTTTGTAGTTCTCTGGTTTGGATATGTTAAGTGCATTCCTCATGTTGCGTTAAAGTTAATTAATTGTTGGTAGCAGAAGATTGCTCTTCACACAGCCCTTCTGCCATTATGATTTCATAATAATTATAAGAAGTTGCTCAAAAAGTAATATCGAAGACCCTGATCTACTTATTGTTATTGAACCATGCTTGGACTGCTTGTTCAAGAGCCATATAATTGAGTCATTCTTGTCTAGGCACCTTCATAAGTATCAGTGATGGCTAAGAATTGTAGGAACCTGGCTACTTCATTCTATTAGTTCCATCTGACCACAGTAGTCAATTTTTAAGTTCTAATATATACGTTTGACTACTAAACACACTAATTTTGTATATTTCATTCATCTGAACTATAGGGCGATTATGCAGCAGCTTTGCGATACTACAATCAGTCTGTGAAGGAAATAAAAGATAAGAGAAAGTTTACACAGATAACTTCGCCACTATCGATTGGGAAGCAAAACACAAAGAAACAAGTGCCGGAAAAGAGAACCGAAGCAGAAAATACGAGAGAAGGGTAGAAATACCTTATCGGTGAATTGCAGGGTTGATAATCTGGTACGACTTTTCCAGACTAAAGCATTGCCATCTCCCCTCGATTCACCATCAAGAACAATCATATTTGATCCCGGCGTCGATGGAGGGATCGCACCGTCTTCAGTTCTAGCTTTCTTTACCGGAGATACATCCTTCTCCAGCTCCTACGTTCATAGTACAACAACAATCGTCGTTCTTTAGTTTTTAACGAAAAATAAGCTCATAAACGATGGAGATATGAAAACATGTAAACTGACATACCATTAAACCGGACGACCGCGCCTTTGATCTTGTCATTACCCCGCTGTCCACAACATGCTTCATCTTGTTCTTGTCCCTGAGATAAAAAAGAAATCATAACAAAAGAGGAATTTAGAAGAAAGAGAGAAATTACGATGGTGGCTTTCTTCCTTGTGTATATAATTTACTTACCCTTGCTTTTCCCTTGTCCTCTTCTGTTCCAGCTTCACAAAACGGTACAGAACAGAACTGGGTATTCCTGAAAAAGGGGTTTTACACGTCTTAATAAAGGGGGATGTAGAGTGTTTTTCTCTTTATGGTAAGTGTTATAATTATCTACCTTATTAAGTCAACTTAGAAAATCCTATTAAGCTATACAGGAAAATCTTTTATCATTAATTAAACTTAGAAAATTCTTTTATCATCATCTATTTGTTTATTAATCGAATTCAATTTACACGGTTTTTTCCTCTGTACAGAACACAGAAGGATGAAGATTTTCCGGTTTTGAGAGGAAGCAGATCGGTAAGGAGAGAGACAAATAAATAAAAAAATAAGTGAATCAATTTACACATGGCAGCATTGGATAATTAATTGAAGTGGAAGGTTACGCTACCAAAAATACTAAAATAATGATTCTTAACATAGTCAAAACAACAGACGGGTAAAAATAGGTTTCCTGCAGCTATTTGGGCATAATCTGAGAACGTACATACACGTTCAGCGCCTCCAACCCTCTACAACCACCTAAAGTCATTATCCCACCCTGCCGAGACCCTAAATCAAAGAAGGTTATCGATGGAAGAAGAAGAACATCCTCGTAACAGTCCCATCGAAGATGACCTTGAGATTTTAGAGGAAACAGGAGATGACGATGATGATCAGAATGGAGAAACGACTGGGATGGATGATGTGATTTTAGATCCTCCTAAAATCGGCCAGATATTTAATGACTTTGAAGAAGCTTACAACTTCTACAATGATTATGCAAGGGCTTGGGGATTCTCTGTTAGGCGCTCAAAGAAAGTTCGGAACAGCAAGGGAGAGGTTACTAATGGAGCTTTCGTTTGTTCTTGTGAGGGACATAGAGCCCCCAACAAAGGGGAGAAGAAGAGAGACTCCCCCATGGAGACCAGATTTGGTTGTCAAGCAAAAATGCGTGTGGCATTTAACAAGAATGATTCAAAATGGATAGTGGATATATTTAAAGAAGATCACAATCATATGCCAATTAATCGGCATTGTACTCATCACCTAAGATCACAACGAGGGTTAACAGAGGCTGACAAGGCAGACTTTAGATTTAAGAAGAATGCAGGTATGAAACCTTCTCAAATCATAAAGCTTGCTGTGCATAATGCTGGAGGACATGACAAAGTTGGGTACACAGTAAAAGATGGGATGAATTTCAGCACTCGAGATCGCAATGAAAGGCTATGTCCTAGTGATGCGGCAGCCGCACTGGCCTATCTAGAATCGAAGAAAAGTACGGACACGCACTTCATCCTCCGGTACACTACTGACGAGGAAAATAGGCTCCACAGTTTATTCTGGGCAGACAGTATGAGCATAGCTGACCTCTCGTGCTTTGGCGAGTTGCTCGCATTTGACACGACATACAAAAAAAATATTTACAATATGCCTCTTGTTATTTTCACAGGTACACACCTTAGTGCTAATTTTGATTCGTATATTCAATTTTCTAATCTGTAAACAAGTTGAGAAGCACTTGCTATTTCAGGTATCAACCATCATTTCACGAGTTGCTTATTTGGGAGTGCACTGTTAGCTAATGAGACTGAAGGGAGCTACAAGTGGGCTTTGGAGATATTGAAGGAAATGTTGGGTGGAAAGGACTTGCATACAGTTGTAACAGATGGGGATAAAGCAATGAGGAATGCCATTGCTACTGTGTTTCCAGATGCAACACACCGGCTTTGTGCGTGGCATCTTTCAAAGAATATCAAGGGCAAGGTGAAGAATAACCCAGACTTCGAACCCCAATGGAGCAAATTTGTAACTGCTGATTATGAGGAAGAAGAATTTGAAGAGAAATGGAAGGAATTAGTGGAAAAATGTGGTCTACAGAACAACCAATGGGTGACTACAAATTTATTTGGGAGACGCGGAGAATGGGCGGACACATACTTGCGCTCCCACTACTTTGCCGGGCTGACAACCACATCAAGAAATGAAGGTATAAATTCATTTGTTGGAAGATATTTGGAGGAGAGACACTGTTTGCTTGACTTTTTCATTCAGTATGATCGTTGGTGTAGGGATTTGAGGGAAACAGAGATCAAATTAGATTTTAAATCTAATTATGGTTTAACCCCGCTAAAGAGCACCATGCTTAGACCCCTTGAGGAAAGTGCAGTTAAGTTGTTCTCGAAAGCTGCATTTCTTAAATTCAGAAGTGAACTAGAGCAGGTTATTGGGTGCATAAAGAACACTCAATCTGAGGATGGAAACATACACACCTACAGTTTAAGTATGTTCAACAAACAGAAGGTTGTGGAGGTAAAATACAACCTTGAAACAAAGGATATGGAGTGCAGCTGTAAAAAATTTAACAGTGTTGGAATACCCTGCACTCATATGCTCTGTGTGTTGAAAGAAGAACGGGTGAAAAGTCTTCCTGAGAAACTGGTACTTAAACGTTGCTCAAAGAACCCTAAGTCAATAGACAGTATGCCACCGCCACCTAAGGTGGGGGATGATCATTCTTTCAACACCAGATATGGGTCACTCCAGTTCTTGGCTACACATATTTTCCTATTGGGGGCAGAGACTCCTCTATCTTTCCAGGTTGCTCGAGGGGGGTTGACAGCAGTGAGGGACAAGTTGGAAATGATGAGAACAACTCCGGCTGAAAGGGAATCGATGGTAATACCTAAGGAGTTCGAAAGAGTCCTCAATCCCAAAAAAGTGTTGTTCAAGGGATGTAGAAAAGGAAAGGCAAAAAAACAACAGAAGAAAAAGAAGAGGAAGTGTGGGAGATGCGGTAGAAGGGACGGTCATTATATTAAGACTTGTCCTGAACCCGAAGGCTACGTGCCGCCAGCTAGAGAATCTTCGTCTGATGAAGAGGATGACGACGATGATATGGATTTTGCGGACAATGATGGAGGTGATGAGGGAGGTGATGATGGAGATGATGACGATGACCAAAGTGGTCGGCCCCAAAAGGTAATTGTTAAAACATATTTGAGTTTTTATCAGAATTAATAGTTCCTAAAAACTAAGTGTTTTCATAATGGTTATATCAGAATGAACGAACGAGCAACCACGATGCTGATGTAGAGCCTACGGAAAACATACCGAAGCGACATAAGGTTATACAACACTTTCTTTCTAAATTTTATTCTATTTGGTACAAGTAGCTATCAACTTAAGAGTTTAATTCCTACTCTTGTAACAGACTGGGCCACGTACTAGGAGTAGTACTATGACACATCAGCAGCAAGGGAAATCCAATAAGCATACATAACCTAGTGTGGAGCCTTCTGCTCAATGTTCTGAACGCCAATCTGAGAGGACCCAACAGGTTTTTCTAGTGAAAATAATCTAATGCATCCTAATATATATATTATGTGAGAACCTTTGCTAAAAAATTGACAGTTTCAATGTTCTTTTATCTTGTTTTTTATGTTTCAGAAGAGGGGACATGGCAAGAAGTTGAACAACACAGACAGGGCAAGAAGTTGAACAACATCCAGAGCAAGGAGTTGAAAAGCACTCAGTTTTTGTTATTTGTTCATTTAAATAGATGGGACAGAATCTTTTAGCTTCGTTGATTTACAACAATTGCAGCCTTTGACGGTTTTTTTTTTTTTTTGTGGTTTGAAGAACATAGAGAGTTGGAAATGAGTTCTTAGTTATTCAAGGACATACCTCGTGCATTTTTTGCAAGACCCCTTTGATTTTAACTTTGTTGTCTTCTTCATCTTCTCTTCGAGGTGCCTGAGATTGATATGCATATGGTTGGTTATTAAAGCAAAAACCATATAAAGCAAAAAACCAAGGCACTGTCTATCAGAACCAGAAACGTACCTTTTCTGATTGAGTACTTGTTGTGAATTTGATTCACCACAGCCAAGCTGAATTGTGCATAGCGACTCCAGCCATAGGGCAATGTAGAAGAATCTGCAACATCCAAATACATCGACAGGTTCATGGTTCTCACTTCTCAGTCAATCCTCAATCGAGACAAATTAATTCACTTTGTGAATTTCCAAAGAGAGTGTACCTTGTAAAGCAGAGGCACACCAACATTGATGCAACCTTCATCAAATAATGCCCTCTGTACAAGAAGTTTACAAAAAATCCCGTTAACTGTGCTCGACGGTATGATCTTAATTCTAAGTAATTAAAACTTGATTTAAGATCTTTCTGCTTCGAATACAAGTACTTCTCTAGTCTTCTATTCGGTATATTATATCAAAATATACCTGATATCTGAAGAAGAAAGTCAATAGAAGTGTTCTAATGTGAGCACCATCCACATCCGCATCGGTTAAGATGATGATCTTATGATAACGAAGAGCATCCTTTTTGAACTCCTCTCCCTGTGTCCATGTTTTTGCAAGAACTTCAAAATGAGTACAAGGACAGAAAATTGAAATAATTCAACGCTAAGCACAAAAAGGGATTAGTATAGCCTGTAAAATAGGAGTACTAATCTCATCTAACCACCTGACAATTCAGACAGTACCTGGGTCTAAAGGTTGTACGTGAGATATCTTCAACGGAACATCTTCAATAGAGCGCAGGCGCCTTTCTAGAACCTCAAATGTCCCAAGCAAATTTGTCCAATCCTTTGTTTCCCAGACTGTATAGACGACAAAAGTTATTCACCAAGTTAACTGCAATATGCATCTCATGGCACCTCAAGTCCTCAACAAATCAGACCCTCACCTGTACTTTCAGCAAATCGGCCATCTTGGAACCTCCGAAGCTCTGCCTTTTCACCCCTAAACTTACGGAATTTAAGAACCTAGTCAAGAGGAACAGACAGAAGCAATTAGCGTGAATTTGGGGGCAATAACATTGAGACTGACAAACACATAAATTCAATACCGCATCTTTGTCTTCAGCGTCAGGGCCAATATCAACTACTCTGAAAGCTTTCTCCGGAGTGCTCATAGAAATTCCTACAATCAATGGTTCTCTGTCGAGAGTGGAAAAACCCTGCAATAAGATAATATCAGAACCAGCTCTGGTCGAAGTTATACGCATCGAGTTAGAAGATCATGCACCTGTTTCTCGTACAATCTCCAACATTCATCATCCAAACAAAATCCAGAAGAATAGACCTCCTTGCTTCCCTTTAAGTTCAACCTGAAACAAGACAGGAGTCAAGAATGCACATTAATGGTACCAAAGCAGTCGATGAGTTAATAAGAAGATCATTGAAAGCAACATAGTATAAGTAACGAAGGAACTACACCAAGTTATTTGGCACAAAACTCTGCTAAATATAAATACACTAGCATATAATACCTCAGAGAAAGCACTTTTGCTTGTTTTTGCCTGACCAATTCCCTAGCTCTCTTTGCTGATAGCTCTCAAAATCCTCAATCAATAATCCATGGAGGCGAGTTACAAGTGGTGAGCTATATCAAGGCAGAAGACTGAGAAATGAAAAGGGGAAGGTAACTGGAAGTACTGACCGATCCAAGTTAATTTTCACAGAAACATTGGTCTCTTTGGTGAGTTTCCTCACTTCTCCAACCCGGCTCCCAACTGCAACAGAAACCCAGTTCTCAGAATCCATCAGAGAAAAACAAGCTAAAGCAGAGACCAAGAACCAAACTTTACCTGGCTGTAACGGCGAAGCGGTGGAGATGGAGGAGGAGCCGTTGTCACCGATAGGAGCGGCGGCGGCAACAGAAACCCATTTCTCAGAAGTTCACTACACCCTCCTTCCGCCATCAGCAAACTCGGAGACGGCCTCCTCGTCGAGATTCTGATTCCCCTCCCCAATCCCAGATCCGCCTTCCTCTACAAACCCATCTGCAAGCTGTGGAGCTCCCTCATCTCCGATCCCAGCTTCAATCACCGTTTCGTTGCTCGCTACCAGAGCATGAACCTGAACCAATCGCCGTTTCAGTGAATCAAAGCCAAATCGGGGCGAGGGAAGTGCAGAGATTCGGAAGCCTACCTTCTTCGAGTGATTCATTATGCGATATGCATGCGCCATATATCCCAGAAATCGTATATCTGAAGCTCCGCGTGCTCATCGACAAGGCCACACCTTCGGCCGCCGGCAAAGTGGGCCAGCTTCGAAGACCCCAAATCGACCAGATTTCCCAGGAACATCAAACGATTAATGGAAAGAGAGAATGAAACTATGCTATTCTGTTTCAGTGGGATGGGAAGGGTTGCAAAGAAATGAAATTTTGTTTTGGCGGATAAAAACAGGGTTCCGTCGCCGTTCTGTTTGGAGCTCCATCGTTGGATTGTCGTTTTTTTAGGCTAGGATTTGTGATTTTCGTGCTGTTTCGTTATCCTAATCACTGGAACGATGGTGAGGAAATGGGTGGATCTGAGGAAGAATGAAGGATGCGAATGAGGAAGGTAGAGTTACCCTAATTCTATTGTCCTGTACGACATCGTGTTCCAGCCTGTCAAGCCTTTCCTTTTTTTTTTCTTTGTGTTTTAATTAGCCTTTCCTATTTCAAAGCTGCATCTTCGAGTGATTCATGATATGGTGGGAAAATCTTTTTATTTGGTTCAAATTTTGGGAAAATCCAAAACAAAAAACTGGCGGGATAGTTTGGGGGAATGAAAATTTATATTCATTGTTTCTTTATTTTTTTTCAAATTCTAAACCTATGTCCTCAATTTAAGTATATATAAAATTGTTTAAAGTTACCGCTCATATAAACGAGTGTTTAGGGTTTAGGGTTTAGGGCTCTTGGTATAGGGTTTAGGGTTTAGGGTTTAGGGTTTAGGGTTTATGGTTCAGGGTATAGGGTTTAGGGTTTAGGGTTTAGGGTTTAAGGTTCATGGTATATGGTTCAGGGTATAGGGTTTAGGGTTCAGGATTTAGGGTTCAGGGTATAGGGTTTAGGGTTTAGGGTTTAGGGTTTAGGGTTCAGTGTATAGGGTGCAGTGTATGACAAGAGGGTATAACAAAGAGAACATATGTCTTCACATATTTCGATCTCAAAGATTACTCAAAGTCGGCCGATAAGCTCATTACAAGTACCCAAAACCCAAAATCGAGTTAAGCTCATAAAATGTTCAAACTGGGCACAAAATTACAAACCTATTAAAATTCTATTAATTATCCAAATATTTCATGATGCATCAAAATATTAGCCATTTTTACGTTATTGAGAAAGAACGATAGACAGAAGTCAACCAAAAGTCAACCCATTGAATATGACTCGTTTGCATGTGTTATGCTACTATGAGAACTGATCTTGCGGAGATATAGGGTTCAGGGTTTAGGGTTCAGGGGATAAGGTTCAGGGTTTAGGGTATAGGGATCAGGGTGCAGGGTATAGGGTTCAGGGTTTAGGGTATAGGGTTTAGGGTTTGGAGTTTAGGGTTTAGGGTTCAATTACCAATTATATAATTCTATGTCCATATTTTATTGCCTTAGAGGTTGTAATTTATTTGTAAATGTCTAATTGGGCACCATATATAAAGGCGTAGACCACAACCTATAAGAATGGCACTTGAGCTGATAAGAATAGTGAAGGCCTTCTTATTAGTTAAAATCTAACGCCAATATCACTTACCCAATCCATGTAAAATCATTCTCCATGAGACCATGACTTAGTAAACTATAAAAAAGGTCGAAGGTAAGTGATTACTCTTTTGTCAGACCCAGATTGACGACATAATTGATGATTTGCTAAAGAGTACTTCTCCGTTAATTCCAACCCCAAAAGGATGATACCGTACACTAAACTGGCAGGAAAGAGAAACCCTTTCACAACCTGCAAGGACCAATTCGAAGGAAAAGGAGACAAGAAGCTAATTGGATGGACATGGAAGATGATTATTCTCTATTTCTACCACATCGACAAATGGATAAGAACACACATTCACTTACCTATATAATAATAGTAGCAGTGTCCATTAGGAAACACCAAACCATAACTGGACTTTCTCGTGCCCCATTCCATCGAAGTCGGCCAAGAGTTCTGTCTAATTAGGGCCCGACGAGTAGACGAATTGAAGACTTTTTTTGCAGTTGAGGGCTTGAGATCAGAAACAACCAACATTACTACCACCGAATAGGCCCAACAGTGCAGCAGGCGCGTTCTCCCGTTGGCCGGCTAGTTGTAAG